TCCTTAATAATCGCTTCTTGATTCTTTGGATTCTTTTTTTGTCTGCCTAATACAAATGCTTCTACAGAAAGAATATTTTCTTTAATGAATAGCTGTTGGACAAATGAAAAGACTCGACTCGAAATAAAAACGTTAAAAGCTATATTATTTACTGAAGTCAATTATGAAGAAATTGTACAGATTTTTTTGAAATGCTTAAAAATGAAAAAAATCTACTAAAGTATCTTTCAGAAAATTATAACGGTTGTACACTCCAGAATTCTGAATAAAATAATTGATTTGTTTAAAAAGAAACTGATTTTTATTATCTGCTAAAATAGTATTTATTATGTATAAATTTTGTTTAAAAAAATGAATAAATAAAATAAAAGTAGCATAAGAATTATTCACTGCAATCTTGAAATAAAAAAACAACAATCTTCGAATAAAATTAAATTTATAAGTTATTTTAATTTAAGAATACTAAGGCTATCCGCAAGACTTCATATTTTTTACCATTGGAATTGCAATACATGCATAGGAAATATAAATACATAATAAAATCAGAAAATAGGTTTCTCACTTTATTTATTAACTTCAATAAATTAAAAATATCTTGAATAACAATAAAAATAATATCATGAACTATTAACGAAGTTTTTACAATTTATAAAATCGATTATATAAAATGTATATAAATATAATTAAATAATTATATAAAAAACATACACCAACGCTATAAGAAGATAACAAAACAGTATTTATTATATCAAAAAATCTTCAAATATTTGTATTCCATGCATAAATCAAATACAATTTTTAATTACGCCTAAAAGTAGTTTGATATAATAACTCATGTGTCTATACATTTGCAATATTTATTTCATATTCATTTGTTATTCAGAGTTTTACAACAAAGAATACGCTACTGGATGGAACTGGTAGTCCCTTGGTCAAGTTTTAGGTAAAAAGCTTTATCATTCACAAACATTAAAGCTACGTACATAGAGCTATATACACACTAAGGGGCCAATTCTCCGACAAAATAGACGATAACATGACGTTGTTATAGCAACTGTTATGCATTTTCTGTGCAGTCATACGTTTTAGATTTAAAACTAACCTAAAAAACGCATAAACGCCAATTCTAATTGATAGTGGATTGAATTATTGCATTTTGACTGTTTTTAGTACCAACAAAGGAACATGATATTGCGTTGCCGTAACAACGCTATGTTATAGTCTATTTTACCGGAGAATTGGCCACTAAATATTGGCACTTCGGGCATATGTTTTTATATACGGTTTGTCAATTTTTTGGTTGGTTGTATTAAATGATATTTATATGTTTTGGAGCTACATCAAAATGTCAATAATAAAATTGTGTTTATGGACACAATATGAAAATACTTAAAGGAAGCAAACTCTCAACTTTCTATTAGTATCGGGTTATCTTTAGTTTACCAATATCCTAAAAATATGTAAAATATATTTTGACAACGAATATATACACAAATAAAAGAAAGCTTAAGTGATTTTTCATAATATAATGCACAAAAATCGTCCAAATTGTTAAATACAAAATAAACTTTGTTCATTAATTTGCTCATCGATGTTGGTGACCCAAGGTGACACAAATCGAATGTGCGAAAAACTTGCTTATTTTAGTACTCTTTATGAATACTGGGTGCGATAAAGAACATCCAGAATGAGCAAAGAGGTGTAAATAAGTAATTCAAAAAACTTTTATCATAAAAGGTTGTAAACTCCAGCTTGACGACACTGCCAGTGCAGTCACCACATTTGATATTCCTTACTTGCATCTGAACGAAATCGAAATGTGACCGAAAGTAAACGCGCACGCAATTGGCAAAATTGATATAACGGAAAGCGCAAAACTTTCGTTTTCTTTATAAAACAAGAATCGAGTAATGAATTTTCTGCAACTTTCTTATGCACAAGATGCGATTGTGCAATATGCAGTCATTGGATGAACGGTTTTAAATAATTGGATACTGAAAAATGTTTTATTGAACTTGTGTTTGAATTAAATTTGTATTGGCAGTACAATTTCAAGTTTGTTTATGATGCTGTAATAAATATAATATTTAAAGCATTATTAATTGAAAGATTTATTACATAAAAATATTGCATATATAGTAAGACGTTTATGTAAGAGTATATATATATATATATATATATATATGTGTGTGTGTGTGTGTGTACTAGCTGTATCCGATCACGCGTAACAGTGTTTTACTTTTAATTACAAATATGAACAAAAATGCATATAGTTATTATGAGCTGTATTAGAAGAATCTGCGAGTCAAATGCTCCATTGCACATAATTTTCTAAATTACATAAGTATTATATAAAAATAAAAGTTGACTTAAAAACGCTTGATGTAAAAATATGCGGGAACCTATTCGGGGATATACCTAATAGTTTTCCAAATTTTCACGGCAATGGGTTGTATGGTTTAGAAATGCGTAAGATGTGCACACACATAGCATACATCTACATATATATTCAGAATTCAAATATCACACATCACATATTAATATCTCTCTTTCTAAATAGTTCATGTCGTTTCATAGAGGTTTCTTAAAACTCAGCTTTATAAAATTAATGTGATTTTAATAATTGACAGCTTAGTATTTAAAAAAAGGCGCTCAATCCATGCAATATACTGCATTGTAGTATGACGTGTTTATTACGGCGTTGAATTTTGCGTGTGCTACTATTGATGTAAAAACGCTAATAAATTATAAGATGAATTCATATAGTTTTATTGCGTTAAAATTGCTTTCCACTGTAGTTTACTTTCTACGTCAAACACTAATACTCATGGATGATATGCTCTACTTCTTTGAGCAAACTAAATTTAAGATATTGCCGAACTCAACAATGTATGTATTCAAATCGCTTTCTAGGCTAACGTGACTTACTTCTAATACTTGTGTGTCACCGAACTCCAAATTTTTAGAACAACGCATGCTTCTTTCTTTTAACACATATCAATAGCCTAATTTGCTCGTTCTTTTAATTTTTAAAAATGATGTTAACATACAAGCTTCTATTGATATTCTTTATGTTGCGTGAAATAAGATGAATAATATAAACTTGACCTTCATTGACCTTGAATGTTTTATTCTTAAATCTCTCTATGGCTTTAAAGGTGCAATGCTTTCGTAATGAAATGTATATATAGGAATATAATTATTAATGGATATATTTTGTAGTAAAATTGCACATCATAATTTACTTATAACATTGTAAATTTTCCGACATAAAGAACGCATGTGGCCGCCATTGACTTTTCAATTATTTCTGTTTTATGTTCATATTTATAGTTTGTTTGCTTAAAACAAAATAGGTTATTAAATAAACATTGCAAGAAGATAATGTATATTTGTGTATTTAAATTATAAAATATTAATATTAAATATGATGTAAGGGCTAAACTTACTCAGGCACATCCACCCAACTGAACATTGGTTTTTTAGGGGTAATAGTCTTTTTATTAGACCGCATCTTGAATAATATTTAAAAAAAATGAACACACTTTGCACGAATAACTGGTTTGCAAGAAAATGAGCAACAAGTTCCAACAAGCACAACTAATATAATTTCCCACGCACTTGAAATGATCTTAGACGAAAATATTGACCGATGTTATTTACTTCAATTTGTGCGTCCGAAAAAGCAATCAGAATACAACAAATTTAAAAACATCACAACAATACACTGTCGGACATAACCTATAAAATCTAAGAGTCTGCACACCATCGGGCGTTCGTTTCGAAAGTAACTCCGCCGGATGGGGATCGCGTTCAGTGCGTGAAATGTGAAAAGCGGTCGGCGGACATACGACGGACAAATCGGGTTTTCACCGCGGCCCCGAATCAACCACTGTCACTCTTAAGAAAGAAAGTAAGAACGAGCCGACTGCGATAGCGGCACGCCGTTGCACCGATGGGCGTCGTAGGGGAGCACGGAGCCGGAGGACCCATCTACTACTTTTATTTGAAATTTGGCTGGTGGTGCATCAAATTGCACCTTTAGGCAAATTTATACGAATATCCATTTTTTGAACAATGTGGGCATAGCATCGAACAAATTGCTAGAACTTCCAGTATAGAAAATTATTTTTTTTAAAAAAAAGGCTTTGAAATATTTTGAAAATTATTAATTTTGCTTTGTTTCAAAAAACTGATTTTTTCTAAAAATGTGATTTTTTTCACATTTTTTAATTTTTTCGTGTCGTGTCGCAGTCTAACTGATGAACATTGGTACGGAATCCATAGAAATGTGAACAAAATTTGTACTTATTATTAAAATCTCTATAAAATATTAGATAATTTGATGTGCATATGTCTATTAATTTTAATAATAAGTACGCCGTTTTAATCGCCAAATGGTTTTTTTTTTTACTTTTATTATATGGTCTCCGAAACCGCTGAACCTGCCCTCCCAAAAATGTAATCAGTTGTTCATTTTGTCAATGCAAATAAAATGTTTTTTCAATCATTCAAATTGGGTTCTCCGTTATATAATATTTCATTTAAATTTAATTTGATAAAAATTTCTACAAATACTTTGCGGAAATGTCAGCGATAAATTCTTCATTAACAAAGAAATCCATCGGCCAATCCGCGTAGAATTAGTCAAGAATCGCAAAAAATACTGGAAACATCGTAAAATCATTAAAATCGGACATGCATTTTTTCTTCCCCTATTTGAATACGCTAATATTCTTTGAGCTGTGAACTTTTAGCAAAACTAAAATTGATATTAATTCACAAATATATATTATAAAAAATTCTATCTGAGATTGAAATTTAAATCGCTTCCAAGTTTGTTGTACAATATAACCTAATGGCACTCCACTAATAGGGAAAGCCCGAAGCAGTTTTTCGCTCGATGCGCTCCGCAAATTTGCGTTCCAGCTGATGTCAAGCGCGGACTGATACGATACTGGCGGACGAGCGCGATTTTTGACCGCCACTCGCATCCGGATTTATGAAGACAACTTGAAACCACCGCCAGTCATCTTTAACCCTGGCGGACGTGCGAGGTCATCTTCATTTGGATCCTTCTCAATTTCCTTGATTTTTGCTTCTGCTACATTCAGCCGCTCTTTCAGATTTTCGTTAACTTTTCTCTAAAATTGGAAATATTATTCGCTAAAAATACATAAACGTTGCGTATGATGCACGGGATAGAGTAGACAATCATTTCTCCAATATTAAATAATTCACCTCAATATCTGTTGATAATAATGTTTAATGTTTTTTCCTTTGAATGCGGTTCTGAGATTTTACAAATAGAAACAAATGGACATTCACAAACAATTTTATGGCCATTGTTGTCTTTTAATATAACAATGCTCAACGAACAGAATAACAATGCATTATCTCACAAATTCAGCGTAAATAATGCAGTAAAAACTGAAGATAGTCATTACAAAAATTACTGATAAATATTCTTATTAATATTAAGTCAAAAGTTGTAATAAAATATTATATTATTAATAATAAGAAAATAATCATTAGAGTAATAAAAAAAAGGCATTGACATAATTGAGAATTTTTCTTTCAACGTAATTCTAAAACGAAACCATTACACGAGGATTTGAAATGGTAATTTTTTTGTTTGTTTTTATTATAAGTTTTATATCTTCATATACAAATTAAAAATAAAAGGCCGACTTAAAACTTCTTCATCAGGTATAATTTTAATTTGTTTTTTTTTTTCTGTGGTACCTGTTCCAAATAGAGAACTTTAATTTGGCGCAATTCTCCTCGTATTTCTTCTTCTGCATCTCCACGGCCCTTGTCTGCATCATTTCTGGCATTTAATTCTGCGCAAACAGCTTTTAATTGTGATCCCCGAATTGTGAGAGCACGCTTTAATAAAATTTAGAGTGATGAATATTAACATTCAAAGATAATTAACATTTAAATTAAAAATAACAAACATTCAGATAATGAATAATTAATTTATCACTTTTAATACGCAATGATGAAAATATAATTAATTGCAATCAATCGAGTGTTATGTACTGACTCTATGATAAATTTTTCAAACCTTGTAATGTAGTTAAAAAAATCACCTGCGCTTGATTTAATTTTTTCTGTATTTGCGGACCTGGTTGTGTGGATATCACTTGCTTGAGGTTAATGTACAATAATTCTGATTCCTTCAACTCTGATTTTTTCTTTTCGACAGCCGCACCTTGCGATAATAGCCGTCTGTAAGAACATAATATTTATATATAATATAGCACTGTAACGTAAATAATATATGTAAAAAACTGAATGATTCCACGGAATATAGCAACATCCGTCTATAGGTAAATATCTTTTTCTTCAGATTCACTCTAAATAAGTCTTGAAAGTGGTGTCAACTTATTTACTAATTATATTTATTTTCATATTCTATGCAATATATTGCATTCAAGCATGATATCGCCAATACTTTTTGACTTTTGGACAAAATAAATATTGGTAAACATCAAAGAAGAAAGAATAATAGATGATATCTTAATCTTCATTTTATGAGGCAGAGTCGGAGCGGCGACATCCGAATGCAAAGTGTTGATATTTATTTTTTCTTTAAATATTCATTTGACAAACCTTTGCAGAATATGTATTCTTTCTATAAGTTGCATTTTGTCAGGATCGGAACCCTGTAATTTGCGCCACCTGTGCAAGTTCAATGGCGTTTGAACTTCTTCTTCAAGAGCAGTTACTTTCAATTTTTCTTTTGTTAGGTCACGTTGCAAATGTATTATCTGCATATATATAATACATGATTACATTGTTCAAGTATCGACAAAGATACTGATAGTAGAATGAAATCTTGAATATTGCTAACTACTAATAACTTTTGCAAAGTTAGCGAAAAATGACGATACGGGTGTGTCAATGCTTTTAGCATTCAATATATAGTGTAAACAAAATAACAGAAAGTTTGAAAAACGATGTTTAATTGAAATAAAAAATATGATTTACAAATATAAATAAAATTTACTCACAGTTATTATGAACACCAAAATTTTTTTTAAAAATTTGTTCAAATTTGTTCATTTATTTAATTTCTCTTATTTACACAACGACTTGAATGAATAAATTTGAGATACGCAGAACGTTAAATGCTGATGACTCTGGTTACTAAAAAAGTCTTTAGAATTATGTCACAAGTAAATTTGCAATAAAAAATAATTATATTAGCTTGTTAACTTCCCATAGGGTAAGTTAGAGTAATCGTCCAAAAATCTAACATTAAAATATTTGCATATTTTACGTTTCAAAGGTTTTTGAACATTTTGGTATACCTTATAAAAAATTGATGTATCTATGTGTGCGTATGTATGGATACAATCTTTTATTGACGTTTTCGGCACCGTTAAACCGATTTGAATTATTCAACAAATTCGATTCCTATCGCTAATATATTGCTGATTTGAGATACGGAGCTAAAAGTGCAAAAAATTGCTTTAAATATCGATAATGATTTGGATTTTAATTTTAATTCCAGCTGAAGTCCTAAAGCGCACTTGCTCACTTATATACTTAAAGTAAATTATTTCAACTTTGCAATTCAATTTATATAATTTTTAGAAATATGAGGTGAGATCTTTCATTCTAATTCCGCTTGATTAGGTTTTGTTTATTTACTTTTTATGTAAACATTTTTATGTAAAAGTTGTAAAATTTATAATAATTTATTTAAAAATATTTAAAATTTCTCGAATATTTCATTACTTTAAGGCACGATGCTATGCATAATGAGTTTATATATTCATTTAATTCAAGCTCAAAATGTATTTTTCTAAATAAATGAATTATTACAAACTGTAAACACATAAATTTTGGGTTCATATAGCACAAGAGCTTACAGTAGTGTTGTGTAATTGGTATCAACTTATATCTGTCGCAAAAGGAGTAAAAAGATCGAATCATATATGCCAATTTTTTGCGTGAGAAAAGATAGCACTAAAGCAAGTAAGTATATATATTTGCTCATACTTATAGTAAAGCATGCTATAAGATAATGTTTATTAAATTTTACATCACAATGAGTTAAACGCTTTAAAATGAGCTTACTAGAATTAAGTCAATATTTTTCTATTCTAGACTATTCCATTACAGCTATTTCTATCGTAAAACTTTACCTCCTGCTTCAAATCCGTCTGATTGTCAATATTTTTCGTTAATAGTTCCTTCTCTTGCCTAAGTTTCTGTACTTCGAGTTTCAAAACCTTGATGTCGTCGATGCGCTGCTCATATTGTTCCTCGCCGCGCGTCAACGAGGATTGAAGAGCAGCAATTTTGTTGTACAAGATGGCAAGCTCGTCATTTCGACGAACGAGTTGCGTTCCCAGAATATCGCGTTCATTTTGTAGTTTGACAAGATCTTTTCGTAATTCGGTTCGTTCGTGTTCGAAATCCTGTTTTAAAATGTAATATTATTATGTTCGTTTTTTTTTCTTTGGAGAAGATAAACTTTGGTGGACATTTCAATTCAAAAGTATTTTTTGAATATGGTAACTAGGTAATATGTTTTAACTACCCCACTTGGCATTAAACAGCTAACTGCTATTACAGAAAACAAAATATGAAAATATATTTGCTATTTTCAAATTTGGGAATATTCAATTTACTAATTGTAAGTGAACTGACGACATAAAATAATTTTTCGAAACGTGTGGAAAAATAAATATTTTTTAAATCTTTTTCGTTGTTATTGGATTTTATGCTTTCTACAAGTTTTTCATGTTATTTCAACAATAAATATTCGTGGCATATATGTATGTATGTACATGTTTATACAATAAATAGTAATTCAGGTGGCGAAAAAAATTACTATATTTTATTCATTTTTTACGTATGATCAATATTTCATATAATTGCTTTTAAGTTTTCTATATGTATTATCAATTTTTTAACATTTATTTACAATTTTTCATACGTTATTTATTTTGTAACTATTCCTTCGAATTATGTTTTTTAGTATTCACATTAATTCGAAAATTATTCAAAGACTTAAATCGATTGGATGTCTGAGCAAAAACTTCTTACATTTACGTACTATATATATATATATATATATATATATATAAATATATATTATTACATTACATTATCATAAAATCAATCAATCTATGAGATAAAATGACTTACCGTTATGCTGTCTCGCAAACTTTTTTCCAATGCCTTCATATCCCTTATTTCATTCTTGCTATGTTGTAATGAGACAAATGAGCTCTAGATGAAACAACAATCTTGTTGTTAGATACAAAAAATATATAAAAGTGCAAGCCGAAGTCTATGATCTACTCATGCAAACAAACTTATTTACCTATTGATATGAAATAATATCCAGTGATTTTGCTATAACTATCTCTTATGATACTTATCGAAAGTTACGATCGCTGGAGGTAACAGTCAGACTTAAATTATTTATTTGAGAGAGTGCTATATCTGGATCTTCTAATATTAATAGTACTAATGAAAAATCAAATCATCTAATTAAGATAGGTTTAGCAATTTAATTAGAAATTTGATTACCAATTAATGATCCAGGTTGACGTAATTCTGTTCGAATCAGAAATCTTAATGAAGTACCAATTATTTCTGGTTAATGCATTGATTAATAAACATTTGAAACCACATGCTTACCTGTAAATCAACGCGCAATTGTTGCTTATCCTTCTCGCATTTTGACAACATTTTTTCTTGACGCAAAATCTTAGCCTCCTTTCCTGTGACGTCTTCTTTTAATTGTTCCACTTGGTACAACGTCATCTATTTAAGTACATAATTTAAATATATTTATTTAATGTTTTTAAACGCCGTGAATTAAAAAAAAAGTTAAACAAATTAAAATAAATGATAAATTAGCCTAACTTTAATTGATTAGTAAATTTCAATCATTTTTAGGAAATTTTCTATGGTATAAGTTTCAATCCAAAGAAGCTCGGGTATATCCCCGAGCAGGTTTACGCATATTTTGATTGAATGCAAGTGGTTGGGGTTGACTGCCCCAAAGTCCTTTTTTTGCGTCAATTTTTTTATTTTTAACTTCCCGAAGAAGAAGTTTATGTTTTCATCAAAAAATCCGATTCGCAAATTTTATGTTTTCTCGACGTTTCAAGCCATTCTGAATCGAATGAGACCAAATTTGGAAAAAGTATGTGTGTGTGTGAGCATGTGTGTGTGTGCGTGTATGTGAACACATTTTTTGCTGTAAATCGACGTTTTCTCAAAAACGACTGGACCGATTTCAAAAATTTAAAACCCATTCGATATATCTCGATGAGGACTAGCGTTTATCAATTTTGCGCGACGATCAGCCAAGCCGTTTCTTTGTAAATAGCAGAAAAGTGAAATTTTCGTCCACGTTTTAGCCCGCAATTCTGAATCGATTTTGAAAATTTAAAAACCGTTCGAAAGATATTGGCTGGGAATCCACCTGATTAGTTTTTGGTAAAGATCAAGTAGGCCGAATTTTAAAAATTCTTCAAAGTTTGCAAAAATTATTATCTTTTTTTTTGGCATTTGTCAAAATTAGAGCCTTCATCGACGTTTGCTCAAACACGCCTGAACCGATTTCAGAAATTTAAAAGACATCTGATGTATCTCAATGACAGCTATTGTGTGTCAGTTTTGTGCGACGATCTGCCAAGCCGTTTCTTTGTAATTTGGAAAAAGTGTTAAATTTTTCGTCCACATTTAAGCTCATACTACCGAATCGTTTTTGACAGATCAAAAACTGTTCGAAAAATATTAGTTGGGAATGATACTGATTAGTTTTAAGTGAAAATCTACCGAGCCGTTTTCTTGCAATTAACTGTTGAAAAAAAATTTAAGACTATTTTTATGAAACTTTTTTTTGGCGATATATATCATGGTCTTATAGAACTTACTGAAATATTACGGCCTTACGACAAGTAGTTTAATTTTAAAAATTCATTGAAGTTTGAGAAAATGAGTAGATTTTTTGACGTTTGTAAAATTAAAGTTAGACGATTTACTTGGCATAACGATGTAGTGTTCGTTCGTTTTCAATGACGTGTGATAAATTCACTCAAAATATTTTCAATCACTCGTGAATTAATTTATATTTTATTGATTAAGTCGATTATTTACACATATCGAAAAGTTTATGTAACTTGCCTCAAGGAAAAATACCAATACCAACTAGTTTTATAATGCGCATATAAACAATATATATAATATATAATCCTTTATTTTTTAAAATTCATATTTATATAAGATTATGTTTAACAATATATATTCAGATCATTATTTTTTTCTTTTGTTGTCCAACTTAATGATTAAAGCTGCATCGCTTTAATTGAATAGTGTTAGCCACCTAACTATCTCTTTTTAACCCGCAATGAGATAACTTTTCAAAAAAGTAAAAAACATTTTTCCACAATGATTAGTTAGCGGGCAATTAAGCTGACAATGAGCTTATTTGGATAGTTGTTTGTATGATATGTGTTATTTGTTTAGATAGTTGTTTGTATGATATAAAAATAGTTAAATGTAACAAAACGGTCTTTTTGTTCCCCAGCAAAGCGTGATCGTGGAAAGCTAGTTTTTCATAAAATATCGTTTAAATGCAATTGTGTTTATAGTTGACTATATTCTATGACTATATTATACTTAATAGTGTAACTACCTTGACACGTTCCCGAAGCTCTACTCCTTCTTCCGTGGAAGATTGCAAATTTCGCTGCAATAAATTTCTTTCTGATCGAACCAGTTCGAATGACTGTTGAATGCGCATCGCTCGAATGTCTGTTTCGGCTAATTTCTCTTTGTATTCAAGTAATGCAACTTGTTTTTCTTTCATCTCATCTTAAATTCAAAATATTCATTATAATAAAATGCAGTTACGTTCCAAATTACGTTCTTATACCATGTGTCGCTAGAAACTTGATTCTGTATATATTTATTTATTTAGCATGTATTGTTTTTGTTATAAATATTGCAATTATTGTGTGACTTTTATAAAAGTACTTATACTTTCAAATTAAATTTTCAATTTTTACCGGTTAGAAAATCCATGTAAGTTTGGGACTACACATTTACGGGTATGGTCGTGCCATAATTTTAATTTATCGGTTAGCTGAGAGAGAAGTAAATTAAATGGTAATTTGAACATTTATCTAAAAATACTGTCTTTGAATACGATGTATTAGCCATAAAATCAAATCAGGGATCGTTCAAGTATTACGTAAGCAGATTTATTACAATTATTTACCCCCCCCCCCATCCCCCTTGTCTGCAAAGGTAAGCAAAGCTCTTACCCCCTACCCCCCTGCTTACGTAAACCTACAAGAAAAAGGCAAGTATCACAACTGGCACACCACCCAAGACGGTTGTGACAGGCATAAAAATAGGTTGAAAAATAATAGGTATGAACATCAACATGGTTTATAACTACTTTTAATGTCAGATATATGTAAACAACATAACATAATCATTCAAAGAAAGCTTATGAATATAATATAAAAAACATAAATTTTGAAACAATGTTAGCAAGGAGTCTTTGTGGTCTTATTCCGAAAAGTACAAGAGCCACAACTACTTTGCAACGCACACTTTTGAAAACGAATCAACGTTATGACTGAGCTAAATTATCTACGGAATAACTGCTAATTAATTACTTATATTCAACTTACAGCAAAATAAAGCGATCCATCTGTATACACGTAACAGTTATTAAAAGATATCGAACAGAGAAACTTTTTTTGACTCTTTAAAGGCAATGCGGTTTACAGATTATTTTAATGTAAAGCGCAGACTGAATGCAATAATGGGAATATGTCCAAACAAACATTCTACATCTTACTCCATTTGGACCCTATTTCAAAATCTGTATAGTTTAGCTGTTATGGCGACTCTCACTACCGTACCCAGTCTTCCCTATTTATATGTTGAAGATAGTTTCATATAATTGAAAAGTATTTACGTACAAAATATGAGGTAAAATTTTTAAATACAAAACGAAACCATGAAATTCTATGAAAATATACTTCAGATTATTTATATAAATCTGAAAATAAGCGTGATCAATTGAACAATTGCATTGTTCATTGTATTTTCTGAAAAGCATCTATTTGTTTAAAACGCTTATCAAATTATTTGATACATTGTTCTAAATGTTAAATTTGATAGCTTATTGTTCTTAATGTTTAATTTCTTTGTAACTTATGTTATTGATAATTGATTTAGCAGTTGCAGCAGAATACCGCCTTTTTATTCCTATGTCTACAATTTCGTCGGTCGTCGATCTCATATCTGCTACAGGTTAAGTTTACCTTGAATATCGGACAGCTTCTCCAGTGCCTCTTTTGCTTCGACGGCTAATTTATCACGTTCTCTTTCAACTTTAGTTTTCTGACTTCTCATAAAACTGAGCTCTTGCGCTTTTAGCAGCAATTCTGATTCAAATTGCCGTCTGAAGGATTCTTGTGACTGCAACTGAAGTTGCAATTCCACTCCACGCTCTAAAACAAAAGTAATTTACATAAACTCATTTAATGTTGTATATAAATAAAAATGAAAACAGGTACAATAAACTGAAAATTATTCTAAAGAATAGACTTTGAAGTATTCTGGAATTAGTGTTTTATGTTTGATACTCATCTATTACATTTCCTATATAAAAACTCTCGCATTGAACCACACCTAAAGTTTTACAGTTTATGCCGTGTTAATTTGTTCGATTGAAGTATAAGGTGAATATTTATAAAATTAAAATTATAAACATTCAATTTTATATATTATTTTAAATATTTTATTTACTTTAGGGTAAGTTAAAGTAACCGCAAAAAAATGAAAATGATTTTTTTATATATCTTTACGTTTTAAAGCCTTCTGAACATTTTGGCGTACCTTAGAAAAAAATTGATTTATGTGTATGTGTGCGGAAGCAAATTTTCGTCGACGATTTCGAGAACACGGATCAACCGATTTGAATAATTAAAAAAAAAAAACAATTGATTTGTATTGTTGGGGAGACGGATTGATTACCTTTTGGCAAAGGTAGGTCCAGTCGTTTCGAAAATGTGGGGCAAAAAGTGGTAAAAATGGTAATTCAAATTTTGAGATAACGGAGCCTTCGATTAAAATGATTCAAAAAAAAAAATCATTTGTTTTGACGAAATAAAGAAATGATTAACTTGGTTGAAAATGATCATTAGACATATGCACATCAAATTATCAGTTTTTATATGGATTTTAATAATGAGTATACATTTTGTTGACATTTCTATGGGTGCCGTTTATTCGTTACACTACGGCGCGGCGCATACTCGCTTATATATTTCGTCTCTCAAACTGCTGCGCGTTGCGTGATATTACCACTTTTTCAAAAAGTCTTTTTTTTTTCAAACATTCTTAAATTCTCAACAATTTAATTTTTTCAATTTTCAAAAAGTTTTAACTTTTTAAAAAAAAATATTATTTATAAATATTCAACAATATATCAGAATGGTTTTTATAGAGCTCGCCAAACTAGATAAATGTTTATAGTTAATGTTGGAATTAATATACATTAAAATCTTAAACTCATGATTCTGATAATGTTCAAAACTTAAAATTGTTTTTGTAATTTCAAAATGGTCACTTAATGGTTCACTTAATTTTTTTTGTTAATTAACTACCACATTAACTAATTATAAAAACAATGTTATATGTTATATGTGCTTACAATTAGTGATTACTATTTATCACTAAATCTAAATGGAAGTACAGATGAATTAATGTTAAAAAATAGATAAATCTTGTTCCCGTATAGCTCTCAAATGAATATAAATTTATTAGGTTGCATTTAAATCTAATTATCGAATGACGTATTAATAATTTCGGTAGTTATACCGCATTTTTATTTAAATGTGCTATCGATTCCTAATGGACACTGTCAATCGCTATCATATGACAGTTCGTCGATACACTGACAGCTTATGCCGTTACTGTATACCAGGGTACCAGACGCATTTTGAACTTGGGAATGAGTATCGGTGTTTGTATATAAATGTCGCTGGTCTTGGTTCTAAAATTTTACATGATACCCTGGCAAGTACTACCGATTGTACGATCAGAATTATGATGTCTATGAGTATTTCCAATATATCGATACTTGTTAATTGGTAAAATTACCTTATCAAAACGTTCAGCGTCATGCATTTTCTCGAGTTTCACAGGTAAATTAGATGGGCAAAGTAGTCGTTGAGGTAATGTAATTTTCTTTACATAAGGAAGTATTTTTCATTGTGTTGCTCAAATTTTGAAGGATATAATAATTTGTTTTGTTCATTAAAAAGGCAATTAGGATTTTCTGTGATATGTTCAATATTAGTACTGTTGAACATTTATTTGGTGTAATCGGTCTCGTTAGCGTTGACACAACTAATTTCCAGATAAAATTCGTCAGTTAACGAAACTTAACAGTTTAATGGTTTTGGACAATACCAGGGTATCAGCAGCATTTTGCGTGTGCGTTTGAATATGCACCGAGTGTTTGATACACAACAGTGACTTCGCGATTTGATTCGATGCCAGGCGAACAATTTTATTTCGACTTGCATATGTGTAGGCATTGAATATTGTAATGCTATGAATTCATCTCAATATTTAATATAATATAATGCAAAAGACATGCTGTATAACTTAAAAAAAATAACAGTCCCATGTGAAAATAAATTCAAATTTCAAACACATTTTTAATCTCCATTTTTCTCGAGACTTCAAGTAACCATTTATACTTTTAGAATTAAGCAATTACTATATAATATATATGAATATTACATATTTGTATCTTGTTTGTTGCAATTTGAATATGAAAATTGGCCGATTTCCGCTTTATAAGTAAATACGGTATAAAATGAATATAAACAAGTGAAAAATGTAAATCTGCTGGATCTAACAACAAAATGCTTGTTTGCTTTATCAAGCCGCTACAAAATGTATGTTTTTAAATATTTTCAACATTTATAACATAAAACTTATAAAATTATTCACTTCTATAGCAAAAGCACCGAAGTGTAATAAGAAATGCGGCAAAAAGTATCCAATAACGATTACCGTTACGGATTAGTTGATAAAACGAGTCGCTAGATGCCAGGAGAACATTCAGAATACGGCATCAGAAAATGGATAATCCCTAAGAAGTCAATTCTTCCCTACATTTATGTATCTGTAGAAATATATATGAAATCTATAACATAATAGTTATCTTAATTCGCAGGGCGGCAAATTTTCTAGGGTGGTAAAATTTGAAAAGTTAGTAGAAAAATCTATACAATATAATTAACTAATTCATAACATCTTTTATTTCAAGAAATATAATTTATACATAATGTATCAAATTAAAACTTTGTATATTATAATGTTGAAACATTAAGTGAAAGCTTGCAGGCTAGAAGTGTAATGAATATAAGCAAAAATTTAATATTTTGAACTCTTATTAATTTTTATCATTTTTTCTTGTTTAACTTGCTTAGCTAATAATCAGCATTAATCGGTTTGTATTAATTAATACCTTTCTTTCTCTGGATATTTTGCATCTTCGACAGCAAAATATTCAGGGCAAAATTTAACAAACAAATTCAAAAAAATACAATTCATAAAAAAACAAATTTACTTTCCGAACAACCCTCTATATATAAAGAAACAACAAACTAAAATATATATTTATAAATAAACATTCGTATAGCAGTGTAAAAAATAGTAGTCAAATAAATTGTAATTTTTGTCTTCTGTTGATCATTTCGATTAAAACTTGATAAACGAATACTAATACTATTAATTCTGTAGTATCTATTTTTTATTTTTTTTAACAACGATCAGAAGTACGTGTTTTTTTAGCTGTGTTTGCCAACTTACATTCCTAATCTATTATTTTCTTCGAGAGGTTGAATTTAAAATTTATAACCCCAAGTGAAAATTTGATATCATACTGTTTGATATCGAGCTTGGCCGAGGTGGAAATCAAACACGGGAGTAGCTTGTGCTAGCTCACGCTCTTACCGTTATCACCACAAGAGTGTTCGACGTACGGAAAACAAGATAGTTTTTTATATAAAAATATCCACTAATCTAAACATGATGTAGTAACTATAAGTAATAATATTACTAGCGCATATAATATTTTAAATACTTATATTTTATTTTTTTTATTCCTGTATATTATATCTAATTTAGGAGTTTAAAAATTTATTTTTCATCCAAATTGTCACCGGTAGCGTTGTTAAATATTCTGTTGCGTTCTCTGCAAGGGTATCAGACGAGAATTTTGAGATAAAATGCGTTTGTTCGCCTGGTCGAGATTCCTCCACGTCCATATTGAAGAGTTGAAGACATTTTACATTACATTACATTATTTACATTTTATATTACATACAATATGATAGAAATATTTATAATATTATTATCAAAAACTACAAAGTTAATTAAACTAACTTGCATATTAATTAAAATTTATAATAATTATTTTATACCACTTTCACCGAAATTCGATAACTTAATGACAAATATCAACACGTTTAAACAAATATCAATTAAGTATATATTGTTGATCATTCTATAAATAATTTAAACAAATAATTTAAAAAAGAAAAAATTAACAATATGTAAATATGAATTAAAAGTGGATATGATGCTGGTTATCCACAAAATGTTTAGAACTTTTAGTACAACAAGTACTTCCATAAATTTGTTTATCCAATCTTCATTAATTGTGTGGCTTGGTAAAAATGTCGAATCGTAGCACAACACAAGTTTTGAGATCTTTTTAATTTAATTTAATTTTTAAATCCTTTCAACCTAGAAGTTTGGTGCTCCAAATTACCAGGAGACTAGGCACCACTTCGTCGTCCTTGTCTTTACTACCATCCTTCTGGCTTATTCGTCTTCGAGTCCGTTCAATGTCGACGTTTTTGTACCGTAGTTGTTGTTAAACGCGTTATTGCTAAATAACAGGAGAATAGTTGCATTTACGGTCACTATAGAGCCGATTGAATAAAAAGAGACAAAGAGTAATAACAGATATAACAATACTTTAATTGTTGAGTCAAATTCAAGTTTGAATAGCTCATCTATTTAATTTCTGCATAAATACCAATGCGATGAAAAATTATTTCAAAAGGAGATATTGAAATTTTATCCATTTTTATTTTAAAATTATGTTTACATCGAAACTGCGCGTGGGCTCCTAGTGTCGGGAACGGCCTCGACAAAGGACAATGTTCGTTTTCAATTTAAAACTTGAACTCCTTTCATTTTTCACCACTTTTGTAGATTTCTGTAGGTATAGTAATATTTGTGAAAAATTCCCAGTATTTTGTGAAATTGATTCATATATTAAACTTCTTTATGTGTTTACGCCTTAAATTGATTTTTCAATAGTGTTGATTAGATCTTGAGCTATTAATTTATATTTATAAAATTATGCTGTTTTCTCAACCAGTGTAATTATAGAAGTTGGCACAAACTTCAAAACAGTGCT